AAATGTGTCACTTGCTTTTCCATCTACAAATGGAATGACAAAAAATCTCTTGTGTTTACCCAGCTAGAAAGTGGCTAGTAGAGGTTACATTTTCTAATCTAATGTCTTCAACCATAGACTAACAGGCATTGTTTCAATGACATCAAGGAGGAACTTTTAAGCGTTTTTTAAACAATATACATAGCTTCTGGGGGGGAAATGCAAGCCTCAGTAGAGTAATTACTGTGGCATAAACTTTTATAGCTCTAAATCCACAAAGGCTGTATAGTTAAATCAATCTGTTATCTTTCAAAATCCATTACAACTAATGTTTCCACTCTGACAGATTTACTCAAGTCAATTGTCTGGAAATTATAGACTGTGTTGTGGAAGTCAGATAGCACCCAATAAAGGACTGCAAACTTTAATTAATTGGATAAGGTTTTAGAAAAAAATTAATTTAAAAGGTGCCATCAAAACAATGAGTTTTCAAGCATCATCTTAATTGGGGCCTTCCCTCTTTTGAAATATGTACTGAGATATTTTAAAAACAATGTAACTATTTTCAATGCAAAATCTATCATGCTCACAGAAAATTATATTAATGTGAATGCAGTGTGCAACAATGGGCACAGCCCACTCTTTCATTTCTCATCCTATTTACTGGCCAACAGTTCTAATCAAAGGTTTTGCATTATTCCATTCCTCATTATAACAATACTAGATGGGTAAATTATATTTTTTACAACATTCCTCATACTGATACCCACTAATCCAACATGTAAACGTCAAAACTGGGAGAAGACCTGAAAATACAAATTACAAAGATCCAAGAGGATTTTGCAGATGATTTATAAGGATTTATTTGTCACTTGCTTTTCCATCTGTAAGAGAAGAATCCATTTCAATTCCAGTATACAAATTCCACAGAATTTGGTTTTGTTACACTGGCACAACTCTTAAGTAACATTTCAATGTTACCTTCCTCAAAAGCATTACCTTCAATTCACAAATCCCCCCACCCACCACCCACCAGGGAATTCAGTAGGGTTCACTGAGTCATTATGAGATTAGTCAGTCTAAACAGCCATTATTACAGTCCCTGGTTGTAACATAGCCACAAACAAGCAAACCAGATTAAGAAGGGACCGCAAGGCAATTCTAGGGATGCGCCACTGAATCCTATTCCTCTGCAAAATGACGCGCCTAGAAGATTGGCCACTTTAAGGGCAAGAATCCTCAATCTGTTTCTCCTAGAAACGATGGCGTGTCCCGGCTCTGCTTATCACAACACTGGAAGCATAGACCTGGATAGGCAGCTAGCGCATGGGAATGCCACCCGCGGAACACGGTCTTTTTGAAGAGCTATGGGTAGAGGCTGACACGTTGCGTGCAGCTCGATTCAATCCAAGCAAGCTTGCTTGTTTGCTCCCTGCCTGTCTTTTCAAATCCCCTCCCACCTTTCCAAGCACTCGCGTTCGCGCCCTTGATTTCCTTCTGTAAACCGGATCTGCCTCGACTCGGAAGTGAAGCAAAAACTTCAGAGGCAAGGAACGCACGCCTTTTAAAGGAGACGTTTCGTTGTCCCTTGGTGATAAGTGTGACTTCATAACAAAGGAGCTGGTAACGAGGGAGCTCTAGAGAGGTGCCTCGGGTCATATGCTAAAGACTCTTTAATTCTTACTGAAAGCCCGCTTCGGAGATTTACAACGGAGAAATACCTCAGCTTAAAGCAGGTTAAATAGGCTTAAATCAGGCTAAATATAGCAGGGTACTGTGATGCAATGGCAAAACAACAGCAACCTAAAAATAGCTACGTTAGAGTGTGTGTGTGAAGAATAAAATATAACAATAACATAAACAGACTGGCTAACAATCCCTAACTGGCACAAACCGTTCATAAAAAGTGATGGGAAAAAAACTGGAAGTGTAAAACTCAAATGACACTACATTAGCTGACTTCGTTTACTCCATCACAGACAAATTAGTTCAATTTGATCAAAGTTTGGGCTATCTGATACGAGTTGCAAAAAGTTGAATGAGAACTAAGTGGCAACAAGGAGTTACAGTAAGAGTTTTCTATCACTATTTGAAAAGAAACATTCAGAGTCATTTTTGAATGTTTCTTTTCAAACACAGAAAACTCTTATTGTAACTCCTTGCTATCCAATTCACTACATTATTCTGCTAGAGATTGCAAGGCTGTTTCTAAATCATAAAGTTCTCTCTGACCTTTGTGCAAATGTAACAATCTGAGAGCCTAATTTTGAATTTTCTGCAAAGCTGTATGAAATTGATTTTGGCCTAGTTTCCTAGTAAGGCTGAAATCCCGTGCACTCTTGCCTAGAAATTCATGGAATTCAGTACCTTTTACCTCTGAGTAGACACAAGGTAGCATTTGGGAGGAATAAAACCAATGTAATATTGCACTGAGTGTAGCTGGGTCTGTGTAACTATCCTAGATTCAAACTTATGAGTTGTCATTGCATCAGTTGCTAATTTACTATTTCTCAGACTCACCTGTTTGGTATCATGTTTGTGTGAATAAGATGAGGGAGAGCACCCCACCCTGATGCTTCCTTTAAAACTCAGGCTTACTACAATTTTGTTTTTTTCTCATAGAAAATTATGAATACTACTAGGAATTGTTTTGGAAGTTTCTTATGACCAGTTCAACAATTGGATATAAACCTGTGGCTTTAATAGATTTCTATATTGACTTGCTGAGTTTTAGTACTGTAGTTTTGTTTTTAAAAACCTCAAGGACAAATAACTTCCATTCCATTTCTGGGTGGTGGGGAATCTGCAATTCCATTGCTTCTTGTGACAATAATTTTTTTCTTAGAAAGAGAAATGGGTTTGCTATTGCTTCCTTGGCTGATGCTGCTTGGCTTCATTTTCTAAGCCCAAGCACTGCTGATTGCCTGTAAGGCAGACTGACCTTTCTGAGCTTGTGCTGGCACTGATGTCCAAAGCAGAGAGAAATCATATGTTGATTCTGTTGTCTTTTCAGATTTTTTTTTACAAGTTATATTTTTTATTTACTCTGGTACTGCCTGCCCAAAGGAGAGAGATGGCCAGAGTAATTTTCTATGGATACTGCCTGCCTGAAGAAGGACAGACTATTGTGATCGAATGGAAAGTCTAATGATGAAAGGGATGATGAAAAGACTAGCCATTGCTGACTCATATAAGTAAACATTCTAGTCCAGGGATGTGCAACTTTTTCCTACTTAATGACTATATTGATCTTTGAATGGTGGGACTCAATACAAACTTGACTATGTAAGGGCATTAAGAATGATCCATACTAGTGCTGAAGTGGAAAATGTATTTAAATTAGAGAACCAGTTTAGTGTAGCGATTAAGGCCCAGGCTATAAACCAGGAGACCCTGAGTTCTAATCCCACTTATGATGTGAAAGTCAACTGGGTGACTTTGGGCTAGTCTCTCTCAGCCCAACCCACCTCACAGGGCTGTTTTGGGGAAAATAGGAGGAAGTAAGTATTATATATGTTCTCTGTCTTGAGTTACTTATAAAAATTTAATAAATAACCTAGAAGTTAAGGTTAAATAACTTAACCTTTGTCAAGGTCTTTTCCACTTATTCGCAATATGAAATTGCACATTAGCTTCACTTGTATAGACTATCTGCATCTACAGTTAACAGACCAATTTGATTTAAACCCACAGCTCTCCCACAAAATGGCCATCTAACCACAGCATAGTCGGGAAGCTGACATTATTCCATAAGCCAATACAGCATTATAATACCGTATCTATATTAACTAATGTGCCTGTTAAAACAAGATCCTTAAGAGGAACGAATATTGGAATGGGCATAGAAAGTTCTTCATGCAATAACTGTAACAAACATTGTGGAGAGGGGTAGATGCTGTTTATTTCTGAGTAGATAATGGAAAACCCTGCTGTGTGTTCCAAACATGCAGCTGTATAGAGAGAGAGGATTAAGGAATGAGGGATCCTTGGTGCTCTTTGAACTTGGTTGTTTTCTTACAGATATTTCATTACCCAAAATCAAAGCACTGTTGATGTTACATAGTTTGGGTAACATCTGCAAGAACATCTGCAAGAACACCAAGCAAGCTCAGAGAGCACCAAGGACCCCGAATTTCAACTCTAAGCTACAAATATTCTCCTTTATAGAATTAAGAAAGCTTGCAGGCCCAGGAGAGGTGCAAAAATCCATGATTCACACTATAAAAATACCTTTGGAAGAGCAGTATGTAATTCTAAGCATACAGTACTGTATGCTTAGAATGCTACATTACTGTTGCTATTAGTTTATTGTAGTCTATTTTGATTTGATTGCAGGAACTATATACACAATGTAATATTTGAATAAAATAAAATGATAGTTGTTGATTTAACACACTAATTGGAAAGCAGCTGAATTTCAAAAGTTGTAACCAAGCTTCTTATAGCATTTTTGACTTCTCATCTCTCCCATCTGCTATAACGGAGCCACATTTAGATTTTTATTTTTTTTAATAAGGGAACGGCATAGGGTGCTTTTATTTTATTTTTTTAAAATGGATCATCATTGTGTGCAGTCTGAAAAATCTAACAGGGCTTGTAAGAGAGCCATGCAAGATAGAACGTTTTATACCCTATACCGACAAAGCAGTAATAGGGCAAACTTTTGGATGTCTATTCAGAAATCTTTCATTGCGTCCAGTCAGCTAAACTCACCAGGAGGATTGAAGATGGCAAACCAAATCCCATTTTAACGCTCAAGCGGATTTAATTCTCATTAGGGGCATGGCAGAGGCGGCGTTCCGCGCTCCATTTCCTCCGCCCAGCCAAGAAAGGATCAACACCTGCTCCCGCAGCAGCATGCGCGCTGTCTCGGGAGGAAGCCTCGGGCGCTCAAGTGGAGCCTGTTCCTTGGGGCTGAGGGCCCTGCAGCTGTAGCTAGCGACGAAGAGACGGCGGGGCCGCGGAGCGTCGCTCTGAGGCAGCCTCGCTCGGCCTAATCTCCGCCGCCACATCGCCCCCTCCGCACACGAGGTGGCGCCCCGAGGCGCTGCCTAGCGGCTCTGACATCGGAAGGCGAAGGCGGAAAGGCGTCGCGCTTGCGCTCAGGCGGGGCGGCAAAGGCGGCTTCGGGAAGGCTAAAGGTCCTTCGCGCGGATCGCGGCAGCAGTCTCGGCGGTGGGAGTCTCTGCTTCGGCGTAAAGATGCCGGCCGTGTCGAAGGGGGATGGGATGCGGGGCCTGGCCGTCTTCATCTCGGACATCAGGAACTGTAAGCGTGGCAGGGGCGGCGAGGAAAACTTGCCTCCAGCTAGGAGGGCTCGGCGGGGCTGGCGGGCTTTTTCGGGTGGGGTTCGTGTCCTTCCCCGGGGGGGGCGGGGGGGGGGGGGGGGGGGGGCGCTGGTTTGCTTGTTTCTGCTCCGCGGCGTCGCCCGATCCTTTTCCACGGAGGCGGCTCCGGATTGCCTTGGGAAAGGGACCTCCGCGGGGGAAGGTCGGGCTGGGGTGGCTTCAAAGCGGCGCGAGAACCCGGCTATCCTGGGAAGGCTCCTCTCCGCTCTCGCCGCTGACGGCGTTTTGGGCTGGCAACGAGCCACCTTCTGCTGCCGGCGTCTCTTTCGCGTTGGCCTGGGGGTGGTGGTGGTGGTGGTCGGGGTCTCGTCTCTGAAACTGCTTTGCGAAAGCTGATTGTAGGGATGCGAAGCCCCGCGAGCTGTGCTGTAGATTGGGCCGGAGAAGTCCTTATTAGCCTGCGCCAACGCAGCCTCTTCTTGGCTGGGGTGGCTTTAAAGATACGGAATGTGCTTCCACCAACCCGGAAAACGGGCCTTAGTGAAACAGAGATTAGCTTTATCTTTCTGGGTGCGGGGGCAACGGAAGCTTGGCACATATAGGAAAAGACTGTAGTATGTATAGCCTTGGGAAAGAAAAATGAGGAGAGGGTCTTTGCTAGGAAAGCTGACAGCCCAGCCTCAAAACTCTTCCCTGCCCGAGGCCAGGCAGCAAAGGAGGCCCCATCTCAAATCAAGGTTTGTTGGTTAGCCCCCTGACAGAAAATTCCATAAATTCCTCTTCCTTAGTTGTAGAAATGCAGTGAAATAAAACATCCAAGCATTTACTCCACTTGAGGAGTACCTGGGGCTGTAAAGGAAGCAAGCTGCAGCAAAAATAAGTAGGACAAGAGTGTTCTGGCTTCCCTAGTCCCAATTTCTCATCCTTTTTTGAAAAAAAAAAGAAATGTAGCTCCACCAGCATAAATCACTCTTGACAAAAATATGTTTAAAATCTTCTCCTACATTGCCTACTAAAATTGATTCTGGTTTAGAAGAATGGTCTAGCTGTTTGTCTGCGTCCCCACAGCAGACAGAAGTCGCTGTTTTTATCCATTTCCCAGCATATTTATTTTCTAAACAACAAAGTCATTCAAGAGCAACAATAATAGGAATTGCACCTGTGTATATATTTAGATGTATGCTGGTACAATGGTATGGCTTCTATAGCTAAATCAGCCCACAGACTGAGGTTTAATGAATTCTGAGCCGAAAGAATACTCCTAATCTTCTTTTGGCAGCAAGACTATCCTTCAGGAGACCTTTGAAAATTAAAACTGGAAAAGTTGGCCAGAAAGACCTGTGAACCAGCCAATATTCATTTTAAGAATTGTTTAAGGAATACGAATGGCTGTATTTACGGTTGTGCCAGGACACATGCTCTTTGATACTTTAATAATAAGTAAATTGAGAATACAGCATTAGATGCCTTGGAAAAACCTTCTGTGATTTGATACCTTTCAATGTGTAATCTTGAGGCAATGTATGCAAAAATATATTTCCATGTATTTGGAGGATCCTAAGTGAAGGGAAGATTGTCCTAGAACTGACTGTTAGTAAAATGACTGAGTAATCATTTGCTTGATATGCTTCCAAGAACAGCAGCTTCTCCTTTAACATATGCCCCTGTTCTGCAAGAAAAATAGGAAGTACCTCGGAAGTGGAATCTTTTTATTATAGAAGCCTAACTGCTTAAACGCTATCCTAAATATATATTCTGTTGACAAGTTATAGTTAGTTGGCTGCCTTTGAATGAAGATTGGTCTAGTTGCTAATTTGATCTGTGGTTATTGGATATACTGAAATCTCCCCTCCCTCCCTCCCTGCAAAAGAGCTATTGAGAAGTGACTTTACTGTCATTAAGCACTGTGGTTATATTCTCAATCTATAGAATTATCTATAAAATTATCAGATAATGAATATTTCAGTACAAAAGAATGTACAACATTTTAAGTCAGTTAAAACCTTTTAAAACTGCTTTGCCCAACTTGTTATATAATGATAGTGAGCTGTATCTCATTTACAATTCAATTTCTTGAAATATTTGGGAAATAGTGTTTATTTTAAATGAATCATTATTTGGGGATGCACCTTACATTTTTATCAAGAGGAAGATGCTTGGATCTGTGTATTTAAAAAAAAAATTGCAGTGCATAATCTATACTACTTGGTAAGAATATGGTACAGTACCTGGAGAACTACAACAAATAGTAATTTATCAACAGTTGAGGTCCAAAAATAAACCAGCTCAGAAACCCCAAAAGCCCCCCAAATCATTTGCTTCCCTGCCTTTCTGGTAAATACCCCTACGTTAAACTAATTAGTCTCAAAGAATGCTTGTTTGTGTTCTGGGAAGGCCTTCTGTATAGAGAGTGAACTTCGGAATCTTGTACTAGACATAGCAGAATCACTGTGACAGTTGTCAGAAAGGTTAGATCCATGGCTGAGATAATTAACCTCTTTATAGTAACCAAACACACACACACATTTGTTGCCTTCTTGATGTATTGAGGTTCAGGATTGCATGGACAATGTTGCCTGGGGCTTCTTGTTTAACAACTACCATGGAAAGTTGTATTATGGGCATTATATATTATATGGGCATTATATTCCCCAAGGCCATATAATGTTCACCTCCAAAACAAATAAGGTTGTGTATTAGTTTAGGCCAGTTGGTTTAGTGGGTAAAGCAGCAGGCTAGAAACCAGGAGACCATGAGTTTTAATTCCACTTTAGGCATAAGTCTCTCTATCTCAGCCCTAAGATGCAGACAGTGGACATGAAAACCTCAGGGATTAACTAGCCCTGGTAGTCTCCAAGAATCAAAATGACTTAAACGTACGATATAATGCAATAGTGATACCAAAATACAGCACTTGGAAAATTTGCACATTGAAAGAATTTCCATCTGTCAATTGCAAAGGGCCGCACTACTTGGATCCACACATAGACTATGCGCTGCAACATTACAACATACTAGCTTCTAAGGAAGAACTTGATGCATATGAAGGCTGACATCAGCTAAAAATCTGGCAGCTGTGATTTTACATTTTTGTCTCTAATAGTTCTACTTTGTTGAATTTCTGCATAAATGGTTGGTTAGTTAATTAAACTTGACTTTTCATTCTCCCAAGCTGATGAAATTTATACCATTATATTATATGCAGATAATGCAGTCTTTCTTTTCAGTTTCTCCACAAGTTTGAGAAGAATCATAGGAGTCCTGCAGAGAGTATCATTCATTCATTCATTCATTCATTCATTCATTCATTCATTCATTCATTCCTGGCACAAAAACAGGCTTCCATTTGGTCTTCATTTGTTTGGAAATGGTTTCTCTTAGCTTTGGATGTGGGAAAGCACATGGCTCTTGTTTTATTCAAAATGCTCAGAGGCAATCTTTTATTTTTATTTTTTACAGTGAAAAGAGGTTGGTTGTAAACCAGCAACCTTCAGACTGTCAAAGCAAATATGCTAATGGCAACATGATACTCGAATGGACAATTTTCCAAATTTTGAAGACAATCTTCCCAAGGTTATCTTGTCTAAATTTTTAAGAGGAATATGTCAGGTCCCCAGTTATGGTTCACTCCCCCACCCCACCCCATATTTAGAGACAAATAAATGCTAGGATTGATTTCTGTTTTAGTTCTGTTAAAAAAAAAACTTCCCCAGCTAGTTTGATTCTTTTAATGAATCAAAATTTTAATGAATTTAATTCCAGTGATCATCCTCAGCAAAAATTAGGATTATTTTAGTTCTCCCCTTTCCAGCTGGTTTTGGTGAGTTAAAAGCAAGCTAGATAAGTTCTAAAGTAGCAAATACATGTACCAAAGCATAGGGAGGCCTTCATTTTGACATAGTGTAATGTTCTTTCATTTGATGTCCTTGATGGAAGATATAGACATTCCGTCAAAGGAGTACCTATATTCCCTATAGGTCCAGACACACTGAGACTGTTGAACATGACCTGCATTGTTCATTTGATAAAACATCTAAATATGACTCTTCTAAACATTTTAAAGGCTTCTGGTTATCCTGAGCAGTTTACCTCTTTGTTATTTCAGTTTCTGATCCATTTTACCATATAACAAGGCAAAGCTTTGAACAGCAGCTTATAGAATTTATTTGAAATTGATCACATGTAATGACAAAAGCCTTGTTTACATAATCACAAGGTTCTGTTTCTATTGTCTTCTCATCTGGTCACTTAATTGAACTCTTACTGCTATCCATAGAATAATATTTTATTACTTTCACTTATATATTCCTTTTAGCTTAGAACAATTTATGCTATTCCTTTTATAATAAGTGTACAATTATTCTATATTTTAATCTTAATTTACTACATATAATTTGAACATTCATATCTTAATCATAATTTACTTGATAGTTTTTGTAGATTTTTCTCTTATTTAGATTTTAGAATTCAATGTTTTAATTATCTTGCTTGTGGTATACATGGATTATTATGTTTGGAAGAATTCATTCTCCTGGTTTTGAATGATATCTTATACTAGTCTTGGATCAAAGTTAAATAAATTTGATTTACGGTCTTCTGAACACTAGTATTTCCTGCGTTGACTGCTACAAAACCCTAGGGAAATAATTATGTCATTGTTTTTCTTCCTTGGGCCTGCAAATATTCAAAGAAATTACATAAACTAGCACTCCAAACTTCAGGAAGCTTCCTTGCCTTTACATTAAGACTGTTGCTGAAATAAATGATAGCCAGGGTTTTAAGTGAATGCTGCCAATGAATACTATTTTCTTCCAAATAATTAACTACTTGAGATTATTTGTATCTCCATTTTCATTGTATTTTTCTGATGGCTTCTATTCCCAGGATGTGTTGATAGATAGGGAAACTGTTTCAGTAGAATTATGAATTCAGAAGAACTTCATTCCATATTTTTTCCTAGGTACATATCTTGTAATTAAC